AACAACAATCAGAATAACCGAAGCACAGATAAAAACACAACATTCTCAATGAAAGCCCTTTAACTGTTTCTGTTCTGATACATCATTTGCTTTCAAATTTTCGGCTTTGAGCGTTCCTGATGAAAATAAATCCAGAAAAGCGGACGCATGAAATTTATAACGTGTTGTTTTCATTTTGTTTCAGCACTGGGTTGATACTTCTTCTGATGGACTATAAGTCCCCGAGGGTATCATCAGCTTAGTAGTCGGTACTTCGGTACTGACATGATTTATGACGAACCTTTCTAAAAATGTTCCTTTATAAATTTTTAAATTATAAAGAACTAAGGTTTCAACTTCCTCTGGCAAAGTTGACCTTAGATGGATTTGGCTATTTTTAGGTCCGTTTTCGTTGTGTAGCATCACCATCGGATATAGGTACATCCGAACCGGTGGAAAAACAAATTTGAAGTCGGGTAAGGTCAAATTCTTTTTATTTTCATTATATTCTACGTTTTGCTGACAAGTAAAGTTTTGTGATAGTGATTCCTAATAATGTAGCTACAGTACTATTTAGGGCTGATTATGATCCTTGATTGGCGGTCTCTCTCTTTAAATCGTCAGAATCAGATAGGGTGATACCTGTTCAACGAAGCATGTGAGGAGTTCAAATTTGATAAAACAAAATTGAGAATGGAAAGGGGAATGTGTCTAAGAGACAACAACCCGAGCAAAGAGCAAAAAAAAAAAAAAAAAAACAGCCCAAAACCACCAATGGGTCTTCCACACAGCCAGAAAATCCCCCACCAGAAGGCGGGCTTCAGCTGACCCCTAAACAAAATTACGTACTAGTTCAGTATCCTCCAACTATTCACTCGACGTTTTCGTAGAACAAAGGTATATCACATTTAAGCTTGAACAACACTGTATTTTGAAATAAACTATTTATTACACAGAGAAATTCATGTTCTTAAAGCAGATAAACTACGGCGAATAACGGCGACTTGTTGTTTACTGTACGGGGATTAGAATAGGTACTTTTTGCTATCATTGTTTCTTTGCTGCGGAGGTAAATATATCCGGTGGTAATGCTACACAGTGGTTTTGATTATATAACTCTTTAACTGCTTCGGTTCTTATACATCTTTGGCGTTCAAATATTTGGCTTTGAGCGTTAACGTTCCTGATGAAAGTAAATCCAGAAAAGCTCTTCGGACGCATACAATTTATAAAGAGTTGTTTTCATTTTTTACAGTGTGTAGGTTTAAACAAGTCGTTACATGTTTTCCCCAACTCGTTCGTTATATCCGTGGATGAAGTGGCCCGTCTTTGATTTCAATGGACGTTATCTTTGTAGAATTGTCAAGGATTCGTATCAACAAATTACAAAAAGCCTTTACTAAATTATTTCATAATTACAAAGATATGTCTTGGAAGTTTGGCTGTACAAGTAGAAATCTCATTAGGAACGGGATATCATAACGCTTATGGTTCTGTATGAGTGTATCTTGCCGATAATTACATGTTGGTATTGCACAGGGTCATGCTTTTTTTCGCTGCATATGGTGTTAGCTGATTGGTATTTAATATACAAATAAGGACAAACATCAACCACAATTCAAATGAAGTGGATGTAAGCAATTATAGGCAACCGCGTACAACTGGGAACGTTAAGTCTGAGGAAAAATGGTCTATTTATTAGTTAACATTGGGTTTTGAAAAAGAAAAGAAATGGTCTTAGATCGGTATTCTTTTGGAGGTCAAATAGTACTAAAACTAAATTGCAGGTTGCTCAGTTTCTAACGGTTTTGATGATATCAAACATCTAATAAGTTTGGCTTCAAAAATGTTTAATTTGAAGCGTACCGAATTAAGGTTTTTCGGGGACGCATGTCATTCGTTTATATTTAAAAAAAAGCTGATAAAATTAATAAATGTAACCTGTCTGCGTTCTGCAATCTCAAGGGTTTAAATGAGAGATATATGCTCTATATAACCAGGCCTGTTCTTACAAAAATGCTTTGGGATATCTTCATAACCTAGCTTACGACAATAACTGATCGTTAGTTATATTAAAAAAAAAATAATCTCGATTACATATAATGCATTTATAATGTTTTAAATTTATGCTTGTTTTATTTGAGATTTTTTACTGGTAAAAGTTAGATACCTATTTCAACTATGTTCCTCATCAATTTGCATGAACATATACGTCAGATAAATAAATACAGAATATAAAAAGTTATGTTGTTTCGCTGCACGTCTCTTATATAAAAAGAAGATGTGGAATGATTGCAAATGAGACAACTCTCAACAAGAGACCAAATGACACAGTAATTAATGGCTATAGGTCACCGTACGACCTTCAACAAGACGCGACGCCGATACCACATAGTCAGCTATAAAAGGCCCCGAAAATAGAAATGTAAAACAATTCAAACGAGAAAATCGGGGATCGAACCTATACATGTTCATACGCGCCCTTCCAAATTCCAACGAAATTGGTTGACCAATGTTCTATCGAGTTCAAACACATTTTATATATCGAAATGTGTAACAACAGATCATTATTTAAATCCCCACTGGAGGAACTCTGACAGACTGAGTGAGCGTAAAATCATTGTTATCGATAGCCGATGACAAACAAGTTTAAGGTAAATTATTCAGTATTATTACCAACAAAAGTATTACGGTTGTCTACGCTGTTATGAAAACGATTCTAAATAAAATGACATATTATTATCCTCAAACCTAGATCATGCATTAAGGTAAATGATCTTAGTTCCTTTTTTAAAAACAGCCGATAGAACTGAAGATAGAAGACTTGAAAACTTTCTTTAGATATTGTACATTAATGTTGTTTTTGTTTATTTTGTCATAATATGAAAATAAAAATTTTAGTTGAATTGAGTATACAACTTTGATATAAGCAGCGAAAAATGAAACTCATATAATCTGACTGATCGATTAATTGATGACCTTTTAAACCCCGCGTCAAGCATTCAGAGTGATAAAATGTTAATGAAATATGAATTAACATAGACTGCTGGCTCACAAAGTCAAAGTGTGCAGACAGCCACATCAACCTACTTAGTATGCTGACTTTTAACCGATCAGTCTTTTCTTTTACTTCCGTTAATGCCACCGTTTTCTTGAGAATAAAAAAAAAAACAAGAACAAATTTTAAAGTTTTTGGTTTGAAGAAGCCGGTGATCGAACCTACTGACTTCTGTATTCGAGGAAATACGCTGCTACGAAACCACCGATGCAATTATATAAGAACACAAAGCTAAGGATGTAAGTAATCAGTTATGTTCACCTTAATTTGTTTTCACTGGTGATTGTACATGTATCTACTGGTTATTTAATATCATCGAACATTGTATTTGTTGTTATCTGGATATATGTATATGCTTTTTGCACTTTATTGGGCGTTATTTCTGCTCAATAAATTTGAGTTAAAATCGTTGATATAAATATATACCCATATGCCCACACGAAAAACTTAAGAGACACAACTATTAAATCCTTGTGACATTTATATATACAGGATGATGACGTCATATTACAGCACAAGTCACATATTTTTATTGATTTAATACTTTTTTTAAAATTAGAGTCAAGAAAGTCTGAGCAATGTTTTTATCATTAACTTCTTTTTCCCTAACTTTGTCTAGTAAATGGTTTACTACCATGTCAGTAAAACTTTCTTTGCGAATTTGATTAGACAATATCAACTGTACTAAAGCTGAATTTACTTGACTCTTATCTCGTCTACTTGCCATTTCTTCGATGAAAAATGGAAGTGCATCTGTGAGCACGTCATGCAATGCCGCCCGTACCTTTTCCTTACTTTCACTCGAAAATCTCTTTAGTATAGCCATGATAATATCAATTTTTGAACTTTCGCTTGGATCATTATATGCTTTCCGGAATTCTGCTACTTTTTCTGCAGGAATTTTTTCATATTTTATTTCATTAAACGTCTGTCCAGCGAAAAACACATTCAAAGCTTTGATCGGATTTTCCCAAATTTCCGTAATTTTGTTCGCAATTTCAATAGAAGTGTTTTCATTCATCCCCGCAAAAAGATTGCTTGGAATAAAGAAGTGTTGCAGTTCTCTACCTCGCAAACATTTGATCATGTAGTTTAGAACTTTTATCAACAATTTAAATACGTTGTCTTCTGTATCCACTAGTAACAACGAATTGAGAGTTTCTGAGTTCCAATAAACTGCTGTTTTCCAATGAAATGTAGTTAATATTTCTGAATAATCTTGCAATAAACTCTTTTTAATAGCTTTAAGAATGAGAACAACCTTCTTTTGAACACTGGTCATTGCTCTCGCCAGCTTTATTTCACCGTTGTTGTATGCCAAACAAAAATCTTTCTTTCTTTCTCGTTTTGTCAAGGCCGGTTTTGCAACAACAAAGAACTCGCTATTGTAAATATCATCCACTACATGTTTTGGTGGCCAGACGCGTTTACGTTGTTTCCACTCATCAAGAAATCTTGGCTTCCCAGCAAGCGGGAATGCTGGTATAAAATCTTTGCTTGATTTTGATTTATATTTTAGTATAACATCGCCTTTGTCGAACTCCTCTCCATTGGTATTGTCATCAATATTGTTTGATTTTGGCTTCATAAAAAAATATTGTTTGTTTTTTCTATCAAATTTCTCATTTGGACAAGTATCCGTTATGTTTTGACATTTAGTATTTTCAGCAGTTTCACATGAAAGAGCACCAATAATGGAGCCAAACGTTTGTAAAAAATGTGACGTTTCAGAATCTGTTTTGATGTCAGCTTTCGAAAAAGCGTCTATTACATTAGCTACTTTTATAAGATGAGACATCATTTCATCTTTTCCTTCTGATAATTGCTCAGCAATATTTTGTTTTAAATGCTCAAATACTAATTTCGGATTACTTTTATCTTGTTTCATATCTAAAGCTGGACAATCAACATCATTGTACGAAACTAACGTTTTTCCTGGCTTTATATTATGATCTAGATCCACGTGCAAACTGTTGCGACGACGTGTTCTTCCAAAAATTGAAAGTAGTTTGTGAAAATCTCTTATATGCTTAAAAACTTCAGGTCTAATTTCACTTAGTAAATTACTTGGTAGATAACGACCATCAATCAGTTGAACAGTAGGAAGTTGTTTAACCAACTGAAGTCCATTTATGTGGACAAAACAAGGAAGATCTTCCCTGTACTGTAAAGCACTAACAGGAATAGATATTGCCGAAATTATGAGGTAGTCGTAATCCCCTTCGTCTTGTCTGATTCTTAAACGTGTCTGCTCCTGAGTACTTCCAGCAACCATACATCTTTCTCCGCTGAAATAAGACAACAATCGCATTATGTAGCTGCAGTATTTGTTATGTCTGTCATCATTAACAGTGGGTTTATTCATCTCAATTAGTCGTGTGAGCATTTCCTGTAACGACAACTTTGGCTCTTCAAGTCCAGTAAAAGAAGTAAAACCTATACAATGATAATGAAATCAGTATTAGAAGTATGTGATTAAAAAAAAAAGTTAATTATGAACGTTGCACAAAGGGCGAACACACTCTTTTCTACGTCTGTTTTTGTACATGCATTTAAAAAAAGTAATTGATTTATCACAGAAACCAAATAGCGACTGATAGTGGAAAAAGCCATACATTTAAACGAAGTTAATTCAAGTGTGGTTAAGTTCGGTCAACTTATTATTTTTTTTTCATTTCCTCCCAATACTTGTAAAACAAGATGTGCTTGAAACAACATCCTAGTTCTATAGAACCACTTGAAACCGAGATCAATACGCGCATTGGACAATCACAAACAATATGCATACGTAGAATCTTACCATCGTAATTCCTAACTGACCAATCTGTCGTTTGTAGCTGTCTTTCATAATTTGTTTCGTTTATTGGGTTATATCATTTTGGGGTCTTTAAAAGCTTACTATACAGTATGAGGTTTGCTCATTGTTGAAGGCCATTCGATGACCTATAGTTGTCTCTAGTGGAGAGTTATCTCGTTGGCAATTATACCACATCTTACTTTTTATATTAGTATAAATCAGGCTGTTAGTTTTCTCTGGTGAATTGTTTCACAATTTGTCATCCCAAAGTCTTACGATACCATACGGAATGTTTTTATTTGTTATTTAAAGTCATACGATGAAATAAAGTTGTTCACATCCTAGTCATTTGGTGGACAGTTGTCTTATTGGCAATCATAACCGTAGAGGAAAGTTGCAAATTTATTTATATATGAGAGACAGCAGTAGTTTACTGTTGTTTAAATATAAAAAAAAATCATTAAGAATATACCAATTAAGGATGAAAACCAAAACCAGCAAACCGGTTGCGTCGACGGGTTATGCTATACTAGTATATGTTGCTATGCATGCATCAACCGCCATGCGAATCCACACCAAGTGAAAATGTCACAATAGGTAATCAGAAACAAACAATAAGTGTAAAGATCAGAAGACTTTTATGGTTACTTAAGATGTCATAACATATCTATTGTGAGTTGATATTCAGACATATCGAATCGGTTTACCCATTCGGGATTGTGGCCCAAAAACCTGAGAAATGTCGACTTTTACAGTCGATCTTCCTCATAACCCTGATGGAACAGTTTTTAAGACGGGAGCAAACCTCTGTTAAAAAAGTTCGAAAAATGTAAAAATGCACCCGCGTAGCATATCAACTGAATAAGTAAGCGCCATACGGTGGTAAAAAGTAAAATAACAAACATACCGAACTCCAAGGAAGATTCAAATCGGAAAGTCCCTTATCAAATAGTAAAATCAAAGCTCAAACACATCAAACGAATGGAAACCTGACTTGGTACAGGCATATCCTTATGTAGAAAATGGTGGATTAAACCTGGTTTTATAGCTAGCTAAACCTCTCATTTGTATGACAGTCGCATAGAATTCCATTATATTGACAACAATGTGTGAGCAAAACAAACAGACATAATTATGGGGACTTTGTAACCGTTAGAAAGAAGGCATCCAACGAGGCGGATGAGTAAAATAATTCCGCCAGGCCGAGAGTATGGCTCTCAAGGCAATTAAGGACAAAAACTAAACCAAAGAATTCTATACATTATAGACCAGCTCCAGTAACTTTACTTCTGAGAAATGGGAAGTGGCAATGTGAAAGCTGGAATCGTGGCGTTTGTCATAGATTTTAATTTGAAGTCGTCCTTCTGTTTTAATATCAATATAAAGATTAAAATACAAAGGAGACTTTCTATCCTAGGCCGAGAATCCTTAATAGCAAGTACACTAGGTATACATACAATAAGTATACAAGTAGGGTTATGTATATATAACCAGGACTAGAGGAATCCTTTGGTATAATTGCTGTGAAACATTTATAATCATTGTATTATTTACCAACTTTGTTCTCTTAGACGGCTCTTTTATGATGCTTATTTATGATGCTTATTAGACGTGTTAGGAAAGGAATTTAAATACTGCGCTGATGTTAAATACCAATACCGATACAAGATTTAAGAGTGGATTTTCTCAAAATGCAATTGAATATAAAAGTATCCCGGCGTAGTATAGGCTAGCTTTGCGATGGGTTTGAAGCAAACGGTTAACGTCGACTCCAAATTTTAAGACGTGCATTGGCCTTACGTAGATCTTAATACATTCATTTGCATTTGTTTGATTTAGGAGTGCAAACCAAAACTTTAAAAAAATATATGTAAGGGTCAAGAATGGGAATGACGGATTTTACGACCACAAGTCCAAATATATATATATTAAATGATATGAGTAGAATATGTTCATTTTTCTTCTCCACAAGTCCAGAACACAATTCAACAATTTGATTTGATTCGTGTCTTGAATGTCTCCACAATGTACCGACAACCCTAAATGTTTTAAACGTATGATAGCGTGTTCGACATAAACTTGACATTCTCAAATTCTTCTATTTGGTTTATGGCATTTTCTTTTTTTCTTTTCGGTTTTGTCTTAGTTTGTGTCTCCTTTATGGCGTAACAATTGGTGGATCTTATCACATACATTAACACAGTTTGGAGGAAAATCCAATTCCAAGTTGGTGCCAGTTCTTGGAAGAAGGTTGTCTTGCTGCGCATCGTTTTAATGTTTAAGAAAACCATTTTTCACGAGCTATGTGATTCGTATTATCTAGATCTATCTGGGTATGAATGCAATACGGACGAATGGACCCATCCGACTATCACTATCTACTGTCCAATTTAGAAAGCGGAGTGTATAATGAATATTAGGCAAAACAAAATGAAGGAAATCGGAAAACAATTGCCCGATATATAATTTAGCAGGATTAGCAAGAGGTGAAAATGAATATTCCATTCTCAAAATATCCCCCTGACCCAAAGATAATAAAATTTACTTCTCCATATGAAAGTTTAACGCCACTTTCAACAGTATCTCAATTTAATCGTGGTGTTCTGTTTTGTTGGAAGTCGTGATACAAAGAAAAACAAACTTCAGACCCTTCACTGAAACGTCAATTTAACATGCTTGAATAATGCCCAGATGTGTTAATCTTTTAAAACTTAATTCGATAACCTATTTTGTTCACTAATTGACAAAATTTGATAGAAAGAAAATGTCAGTTAATTTTTTTTTAGGTTTTGTCCCTTTTTAGCATTACATTAAATTGCCAGAATGACCTTTCTAGATAAAATAAACAGATAAAGATAATCAAATTGAATACTGTTTCATTCTTTTATTTTTTTAATTGTCAAGTACACAAATTTCTAGTTTTTTTTATTTGAATTTTAAACTACACATTCTCTATTCTAGAAAATGATATAAAATAAGGAAATTTAGTATTTCTATCAGAGAATAAATGACATAAATGTTTACAATGATAGGTCACCGTATAGTCCCAACAAGGAACAAAACCCATCCCGCGTAAAAGCTATGAAAGGCCCCGACATGAAAAGTATATTTTAAATAAATTTCAAATGAACGAACATTTTGAACAAAGATTGATGTAGAGGAAAAAATCTGATTCGGATGTGATTTGATTGCAGTGATTTTTTTTTATTCATTTATTTGATCACTTTGCAGATTTTCCTTGTAGTCGTTCAACAACGATCTTTAACCGAATCGATCACTACTATGAAACAATGCAGTTTATGATGATAATATCAATCATGATCGTGTTGTTTTGCTTGATCCTCTTCCGTGTATTGAAAAATAAAGTGTTATTATTTTATTGTTTAAAAATCATCTCAGTATTATCAAACAAACTCATGCAGGTAACTTTAATTAATGAATGATTAGCTGTACTTTTTGAGATGGTCCCCACTATAGCCTGTAGTGGTATTGGTATTTAACATCAGCGTCAAAATTGTATTGACTTTCCTAACACCTCTATTATCATACCGACTCCTGCATTAAACAACTTATACAATAAAGCTGTTATCTAAGCTTGTCAAAATTGTACAAAGCGTGAATACATTTTCTTTCTTGTTTTATGTAAATATTTAAATAAAAACTTCCTGATGTTTGAAAATAGAAGCGGAAGATACCAAGGGGACATTAAAAACTTAAAAGTCAAAGAGAAACTGACAACTCCATAGCAAAATCGAAAAACGACGAAAAAAAAAATAATATACTTAAATAAACTTAAAATCTGGGAGTGTTATCATGATCTCTAGAAGAGAGAATGAATGTATTTCCTTTTTGTCCAATAAAGAAACCGCGAATTGCTGCATGCGAACTAACTAGAATGTGGATTACTCACTCACTCTGATCAGTATTATCTGCGAACCTCTCTGCTGACGGATATAAATGACTCTTGGTGCGAATAAACTAGCTAATAAAGAGGAAAAGGGTGATGATAGAAAAGGAAACAAAGGGGGTGTAAAAATGTACGAGGAACGGGAGACAGAAATTTACATCTCTGGGAATATATAAATATAGAATACCTGCTTACCGACTCAATATTACTGATGGGGAAGGAAATAGTGGTCAGGTGGGGATTCAGTCGTACCATTTCAATACCCCCGCTTTCCCTGAATCCTTTCCAACTTCCAGAACCCAACACTTACTACTACTAACTCTTTACTGACGTTTTGATAAGCGTTTCAAACACAAATACACTTGTAATCTACTTGTTTAAAGTATTCTTATATAATAGAGTTACTTACAAATGGAAATAAATACACGACATATTAACCAACGTGCTGCGTATAAAGTCATTCTTTTGAACTTCGACCATAAGATGCCACCATTAATGGCACAATGGAAATATTGTTTGTCAGTATATGTGTATTACATCCCCTTCTCTTATTAGACTACGCAAGCGAACATGTATTTGTATATTATGTAGAGAATTTGTGTATCCGCTTCATTAAATATTCATAGGAAATCCAATATTCTAAAAAAAGAAATATAACATAATTCTGTCTATAACAAAGGAGTTATTTTTACCTTCATATGAAATTGGTTTATCCGAACAACTTCAACATGGCTAAATGGTGTTATTATATTTTCATTTTTATCAAATATTTATATTAACTGTAACGTAACTGTTCATAGATATAAGAAGATGTCATACATATTTAAATAAGGTCATTTCAAGGGTGACTGAGGTATACAAATATGGTCACAGTAGTCTTCTTCCGGCCGACAGAAGACCCTTGAAAAAATGGGACGTCCGTTTCGCTGAACGGAATATATAAGTTTAAAGCCGGTCAGAATAGGTACGTTAAATAGGATCCCTCGTATAGAGAAAGTGCCACTCTCTCTCTGCACATTACAAATTCAAATTCAAATTTTAAAAATCTTTATTGTCATTATACTGTATACATATATTTATAGCATGTGACACAACATAACAAAATAAAAACAAACAATATCAACAAGATCATTTATATATATATATTATATAAGTAAATATTTCAAGGGTCCCCTGTCCTCAGTTCTATAGACTGTATTAAAAGGGATCCAAGCTTGTTTACCTTACTGAAAAATCAGCCTCCTGCAAATATTGTCTGCAAGTCTGCAGCGAATTTGCTGCAGACTTGCATCAAACACAGAGTCTGTATTTGCGGCATGTTGCTGCAAATGAGCTGCAGGTCTGCTGCAAACAATTAACCATGCAAATGAGTGTTTGCTGCATAAATGCAGCAAACATTTATATGCAAATGAGTGTTTGCTGCAGACCTGCTGCAAACATTTATATGCAAATTAATCTTTATTCTGCGTGTTTGCTGCAGACCTGCGGCAAACATTTAAATGCAAATGCGTGTTTGCGGCAAACTTGCAGGAACTACGTATACAAACATTACAATTAACCAATGTCATGTTGACTACACATCAAACTATTCAAATTACACAGCAAATTCTGAAAAAGTTAGGTTACATACATACATACAACAATTCAAATACTTCATCATTTGCAAAATTATCGTAGCATAAGTAAATACCTTTTAAGAAACAATTTTAAAGTTTGTTTTGTTGAAGTGCTCAAATGAATTGAATATTTAAAATACAAAAGAAGGGTTTATTTGAAATGCATTGTTTACATACAGCTAGTTAAATTAATTTCACTTGAATTATTATTGAAATATAATATTTAACAAGTTACAATCTCCAAACATATTAAAGAATACTGTATATTTGTAACATATTTGTACATGTTTTTCAAACCTTCAGGTATTTGTGGAGGTGACGAATTTCATAAGTTTACAGTTCTATGAAGAATTTCTACTTACAAATAATGTCTTTGAAAAATAAACATTTAATATGCAACCTAAAATGCTTCCCTGAACACTAATATATAACATGACCCAAACACCATCAACATAACTAAGCACCGAGTTTTCAAATCTTTAACTACCAGGAAGTTACCAATAGGCATGCTCAGTTATTTTATGTAATCCTTGCAAAGCTCTTGCAAACATATAGAATGGTCAAAGATTTCGGTAATCTAGCTGCGAACATCTCTTATACTTTAGTTTTTTCCTGCAATCTTACTGCAAATATAACTGTTTCTGCAAACTTGCCGAAAGCTTGCAGTAAAAAGCTGCAATGTTTGCATGAGGTTTGCAGCTAGCTGCAAACATCTGCAAACATTATTCAAAGGGTTCCTGCAAGCTTTTTGTTTGCAGGAAACCTGCAGCAAGTCTGCTGCAGATCTGCAGCAAGTCTGCTGCAGATCTGCAGCAAACATTTCAGTTCTGTACGGGAGCTTGGGTTGAGGATATATGTAATTTTATCTATATTATTTAAATCCATAAAGTGTGTGTTCTCATTTATCAAAAAATCATAATAAACTTTTCTAATATTACTGTTAATATCACAATATAAAAAGAAATGAATTTCATCTTCATTTTTTTTGTGCAGTTTTTGCATAATCTTCCTCCTTTTGGCATTTTAAGATATCTTCCCTTTTCTATTAATAAATTGTGGTCACTCATTCCAAATTTTGTTATCAGATTTCTAAATTCAAATTTTGAGAAAATTGAACATTTTTCTTCCGTATTATTAAGTTTTACATGTATATAAATAGTGAGTTTGATGTTGTCCTTTATATCTGATATTTTATCATTTATTAGATTTTCATAAAAAATACCTCAATTTTAATTTTATTTGTTCTATTACAGTTTTAGTTATCTTTTGTGAGTAATATTTCATCAGTGTGTCCAAATTCATGTTTTACATACGAAAAGGATTGTTAAAGGGCCCGAAGCGAGTCTGAGGAAACAGTGGCAGTCGAGAATTCTATCAAATATTCTTAAAGGTGCAAGTATTTTGCAAAGCCAAAAACACGACGAGCAGATTTATTTCAAGAAATGAGTTCGGTTCTTATTTAATTGAAAATGTAGTGAAAATACCTTGAAAAAATTGAAGGTCCGTTTCGCTGAGAGTGATGTATAAGTTCTCAGCCACGTCTGGTCAGAATGGGGACATTAAAGTGTATGTCTGTGTAGAGAGAGTGCCACTCTCTCTGATTTAAGATGAGATATTTCTGTTCCATTTCGTTTTCTTTTGTTTCTTGGTTTAGTAATGTTCTTTCATTTGTTATCGCCATATTATCATGCATAAGAATAGTTGAACGGTACATTTAATCATTTATCCCTGTTAAATCTATTATTTTATTTTGTATATTCGAAATTTTTAAAATTAATTACTCCAGAGGATTGAGAAAAATGTTTGTCAACCTTCATCGCACTTAGTAAAGCAAAAAATAAAATCTTAACAATCAGCAGGACTATATACAATATTCCAATTGTTTTAGATGGTGTATTTTCTCAATTGTTTCGACATTCCAGCAGGTATTTCATTAAATGTAAGACGTAAATAGCCATTCTCTATCAAGGAAAATCGACAGGAAGTAATCTTCACCGTTTGCAGGTGCCTCTTGAATGTTGCTTCATAAAAATTGAAAACCCCGAAGGGAACATTGAATTAATCTCTTTTGCTGTAAAGTTTATTTCTTAACCTAAATATAAGTCAGATTACGTAGCAGATTTATTCATAGCTGTATCTGTTGTAACATCTATTTCAAGTTAAGTTCAACAGAAAAGATTCTATCAACATGGTAACCCAACTTCAAAATTTAGACGATGAAAATAAAATACAGCATTGATATTTGAGTGTGTACATAGAAGAATGAAGTTATGTATGCTTTACTGCTGGTTTGAATATGTTTTTAAAGTTACTGTTGATGATTGATGTTATCCAAAAATTTTTACAACATGATACAAATTTTAAAATGACTGAATAAACTGTTTGACCTGTTCTCAATGAATTAGCTAAATATGTGACTTGAATTTACAAAATACACTACAGAATGGTAGATGCTTTATAAGATCCGTGTTTGACATAAAATGGTAGCACAAAGTACAAACTTTCGTAATTCTATTTGAGGTATTCACGACATTTTGAATATGTATGGATTAGCACGGCGTGGGGCGGGTAATGAATGCATAGTATGAGACTCTTACCTTGTCGACACACAAGAGTTCGCTATTTTAAGATTGGATGCGACTCCCTCGTGTTTTTTTTTCCCTCGTTATTTATGGATTTATGAGATTTGAACATTGTTAAACTTTCTATGTGCTCACTGAAGGTGTTTTTTTCGGGTGTTAGGACCGGAACTCTGTTATCGGCGAATTTGTATTTGTTCGCATATATAATTTCCTGTTTATTCTATTCATCTATCCTGGCATCAGTGATTTTGCTTATAAGGTTTTGCGTTATACAATTAAAAGTCTTAATTAAGGGTAACAATTTTGACGTTCTTCAAAGTAACTTTAAATTGTTTTTAGATTTAACAGTTGCCTTTTACCCTTTATAAAAAAAGTCTCGGGTATTTTCTTAATGTAACACCTGTAAATTTGCTTTTATAACAGTAAATATATCGGGATTACAAGATATATGATAGTTTACGAATAGTACAAATCTATTGTCTTTTTCGTCGATTAATTGAAGTGCTGAGTTCCGTTATAGGTACATATTTTGCACTTTTGATGCCAATTTTGATCAGTCGATACTTCTGTTTCTTAACAAAGGTCAGAAATTCATTGGTCAAAGTTATTATTTTTGTTTTAGTCCGTTTCCGAGAAACTATAAGCAAAAAGTCAGCTTTATTTGGTGCATGGAATGATTATAAGGTGTAGAAGTCTGTCTGTGTCATGGTTCATCTGACCTCGACCCCGTTCTATGGATCAGTGATCAAGGGTAAATTGTCATGGTCAAGTTCGTATTTCAAATACTATAAACAGTAGATCCACTATATATTTGGTGCATGGAATGATTGAAAGGTGTTCAAGTCTGTCTGTCTTTCATGGTTCATCTGATCTCGATATCATTTCATGGATCAGTGATAAATGTTAAGTTTCGTGGTCAAGTTCGTATTCTCGATACTAAAAGCAGTACGTGAACTATATTTGGTGTATTGAATTCTTGCAAGGTATACATGTCTGTCTGGCAGAGTTCATTGTATCTTGACCTCATTTTCATGGTTTAATGGCCAATTTTAAAGTTTTAGTGTTTTAGTTCTTTTCTCAGATACTATCAGCAATAGGTGAACTATTTTGGTGTATGAAACGAATTGAAGGTGTACACGTCTGTCTAGCAGAGTTCACCTGATTTTGTCCTCATTTTCATGGGTCATCGGTCAATGTTAAGTTTTCATGGTAAGGTCTGTTTCTCAGGTACTATAAGCAGTAGGTCATTTATATTTGCATATGCAATGATTGTATGGCTACATTTCTGTCTGGCTGGTTCGTCTGATTTTCAAGGTTTACAAGTAAGCATTATTTTTTTACGGTTAAGTTCATTACTCACATACTATAAAAATAGGTTGGAGTTTTTGTTCCTAAAT